ATTAGGTTGTTCTGGACGATCGCAATGTAGGATCTTTTTACAAGGACAAAGGAGCATTTGGACTCGACGTTATTGCAAGCGACGGGACATTTCCGGTCTTTATAAAGTCACGATTTTGATTTGCCTCAAAATTTTGGCTTTTCCAATCAAAAATTGCAAGAAATTTCACAAACAAATGAAAGACAAAAGTTTAAAGTTACGAAATTTCAAAAAAAAAAATTCAAGCAAATCGTCATTTTTCGTATCCTAATACCTTAATAAGGACACCTCGTTATTAAGGACAGGTTTCAAAGTCCCAAAGAAAGCTCCATACATTTTCTGTTAAAGTAACCCGCTTTATAAGGACACCCGTTAATAAGTACAAAGGACACACTTCTAGGACCTGAATGACAGTTTCCATACATAAACAACCCCGCATTAAGGACACTTGAAATTTGAAGACGTCTTTACTTTATTTGTTTATTGATATAATGAGCTGAATACAGATTATATGCTCAGTTTTTGCGTATCAACGGACGACRCACTGATCATTGCAGTATAGTTTGCTATTACACCATAATGAAATAGACAACGCTCGATTTTAGCAGGATTTTAAGCGATGTTCAATTAGTTTGGTTCAATCTCAGTATTTTTAACTCTGTTCAAAAAAAAAAAACCACACATTTCTTTAAATGAAATTATACAGCACAGTACAGTTTAGTACAGAAATGATGTAGTGCTTGTACAGCATTGTGCTTTTTGTTTCAGTTTAGGCTGTTGTAWTGAACATTGTAGCTGCAAGTCTGCAGTACAGTCAAAAGAAAACAGTAAACAAACAAATTTCACAGACGTCTTTAAATTAAATTGTACAATACAATGCAGTAAATGCAATTGTAGTTCTTATACAGTAATGCATTTTTTGTTCCAGTCTAGGCTGTTATATCGACCATTGTAGTTCAAGGTTTACAGTATAGTAAAAATAAATGGTTCAAAATGTGTTTTCAGCTGTTTTTCTGACACCTCGGTTAATAGGGACACCCCGTTAATAAGGACAGTTTTGTCCGTCCCAACGGTGTCCTTATTAACGGGGTTCCACTGTACCATAAACAATGTTTAGATTTGGAAAAACCTATTAAAAAATTGTTCTTTTTGAAAATTCAAATGCAATTTTCTTTTCTTTCTTTCGATTAAATCTTGACAATAAGCTTATCCTTCACACTATCAGCACCTCACTGCCCAGGGCACGCAGTCAAACACAAAATCCAATTCGTCAATTCGTGTTCAGCAGAGAAACTCAATATGAAAAGTATTTCTTTTAATTTTTGGCCTATGACACTAAAATTGTAAAATAGTTTTTGAAATAAAGAAACCAGTATCTTACCTCCTTGACGACATTGTTTTCYGTGAGCTGAGCATCGAGTTGTTGCCTTGTACTCACTGACTTCTGCAAATCTGGAAGAGAATATCAAGTCAATAAACAATAATAAAACCAAGCATCGATAGCTAAGATACTCATTGACGTTTTCTAACATATTTCAAGTGATATTACCYTTTTGGACCCCTTTAAACTTCTCCAATTCACTCTGAATCTGCTGTTGAATTCTTTCTACATTAGCCGCCATCTTGCAATTTTAATAAGGAAGGTTTTGGGATCCCTGTGGATCAAATGCCTATCGCGGGCTCATAGGAAGGAACGCCTGTTTGTAACGATCATTAGTGGTGACATAACSATGTTTATAATCAGTAGAGGTCTTCGTAATCTGCGCGTTTTCAAAGGTAAATAATGATCTATTTTACATAATACATTTTGACAAGTTGCCTCAAGTTGTACTCCACATCAAGTTTTCATCGTTCCTATTGAAAAATCCCCACGTTGTAGAAGTCATCATGACATAATCTCAGCATACAGCATGAGTTAGTGTCTTTTCCCATATTAAAATCCTCATGACTTTTCAAGAATATGTTTTTATGTCAAAGTTGATATCAAATATTTTTCCTCTTTTACTCCGACGAAGGACTAGCGTCCGAAACGTCAGTAAGTTTTTTCATCTTTTCACGGTGTATAATTTACAGGTGTGATTCTGTCATTACTGTTTCATTAGAAACACCGACGCAGCTCACACTAGTTTTTAGCTAGTTATATCTTCTTATCAAATATTTTGTATCATTTCATTCATAGTGAATTTTCTATTCTTCGTTTGCACATGACGTCTTACCGCTATCTTAACAAAAACTGACTTTTAACTCTTTTGTAATATCATCCAACATGGCCGTCGTGTCTTTTGTTATTTCACTCCCCTGGGGATGATTGAAAACCAGCAATTAACTACGTTCCAACTTTTGAATGTACTGTTTACAGTAAGCAATATATAAAAGCCTCCTTTCGTGCATTCACATATTTCTATGCACTTGCTTTTGCTGCCAAATGAGCGTTTGTGCACCTTATTTGGAGAAACAAGCCAGCTTCACATTCGAATGTGTTAGCTTAGAGTCTGATTACTTTACATTCATTACAAATTTAAACCTCAAAAACATGGCATGCAATGCCACCTTCAGCTTCACCTTTGCCTATGAACTGTATACGTTGGACTATTACTATTGTGCATTTTTTCTACATATCACACTTTATACTACATATCCGCTATTCCTTCATCATATTACAGCAAGATGTGTAAAAGTATGACCAAATTTAATGTTGCATACTTCTATGCAATAAGGATTCTGTGGCCATTAGACCAACACATTTCAATGTGAAGCTGGCTGAAAGCTGGCTCCTAAAGTAGCAGGTTGGAAGAAAAGGCTAAGCATGAAGCATGAAGGCTTTATTCACCTACTGGCATGAAGATATGAATAATGATGATGATATTTATGATGAACAACATAGAAAAGAAAAAACAAAACTAAAATTTCACCATGAAAGGCCTATCTTCGGTATAAGTGTGAAATCTTGTTTGCCAGATCAGGGGGACATAGAATGTTTTTTGGTGTATGGGTCTAAGAAAGTCATGATCAGGCACCCCTACTCTTTAAACTGCTCTGCTGTGGATATAATTAACAAACATTCATTATATTTGTAGTCTTTATTTTGTACTGATCTACTAATCAATGTCTGTTTTGGGATCTTTTTATTATTTTGAAAACAGCTTTGTTAGCAATTTGCCCATGCAGGCCAATTCTATGTGTGTATTACAGTACACGTATCTCTTGATTATGATCTGTGCTTTGATTTCTGCTAGTTTCTATGGTCATTTTTCTTCATAAAAAGTTTGCAGTAGAAAAAGTCTAACTGACCCTAATTTCATTATGCATTCAATGACTATACAAGTATTAGTATTCAAGATATATCTAGATATAGCTCTTCAATTCATAACGATCAGGGATATACAGTATGGGATATAAATTCCTAAGAATAATAAAGAAAACCATATGAAGTAGGAACTAATCGTAATATCACTTTATCATCTCCATTTTTCACTATATTTTAGAAAATGCAGCTCTGAGATGCTTTCTCTCAAGCACAGCACGACAGAACCATGGAAAAGAATCCAAAATGCAGTATTTGCTACTAGGCATTCCAGTAACAGCATTTGGGCTTGGAACCTGGCAAGTCCAGCGACTCAGTTGGAAGAAAAGTCTGATAAAAGACATGGAAAATAGAACTACTATGGAGCCACTCTCCATGCCAGACAGGTGACTAGCAATTGCAAAAATTTTTTTAGTATTCAATAATTTGATTAGTACACATGTTTAATGTATAAAAAGTTTGATCGCAACCATGCAGTTCTACCGTTTATTTTATTTCAAGCCTTACACATTTTTGTGCCTTATTACATTATGTATAACATGACACTTTTTCAATTTTTTGTAGCAAATTTGCTAATGTCAATGGTACAGTAATCTAAGTTATACAAGTGTTATTAACTTTCAAATAACATTCAACCCTGAAACAACCTCTAGTTAGGCTGATCATCAAAGTTGAAAGCATGCCTAGCTTAGAACTCCAATTGGAATGTACAGGCTGTAGTGTTTTTGCAGAGGGGGAAAAACCAGAAACCCAATAAAAAGCCTTCAGTCATGAGGGAAAGTCTTTGCAAACTTTACTTACATGCAGTTTCAATAGCCCAGTAATCAAACCTTTGATGCCAGAGGTGAGAAGTACATGAGTAATTGACAGCTACAAACTAATATTTACAAATGCTAATCCAGGGTGAATCCAGGGGCTGTGAGGGAGTTTTCTAGTCAAATCCCTCGTTATAAACATTAAAAACAAACTTTTGCTTGGTTTACTTGAAACTCTGAAATTAATTTCCATCAATGTTTTCAACTTTTCCCACATTTTCTAAAAATCTATTAAGCTTTAGCTGTTGTATCACAGCTTGGGACAATCACAACAGAGCTAGGCTCCAACCAGGTGAAAGCCCAAAGATCAAATTAGAATTTAGTAGTCGATTTTTGAGGAGCCGGAGGAAAACCCTTGAATCACAGGAGAGAACCAACAAACAACTCTGCTCTACTCACTGTAACAGTCCCCTCCCTCCCCCTCTTTACTAAAACGTGCCAAAACATACCTGGTCATCTTGGAACCCTACTCATAGGTTTGCTGATTTTCTAATGTTTTTATTGTTAGGATTGAAGATTTGGACACCTCATCCCTTCAATATCGCCGCATAAGATTAAGGGGAAAGTTTGACCATTCATATGAGTTTCATGTGTTGCCAAGATCCCTTAACGAAGAAACAAGCTCAGGTGGACTTGGTAAAAAGCCAAAAACAGGAGCACATATTTTCACTGCATTTGTTTTGTCAGGAAGTGGGTAGGTTGATCATCGTGGCAATGGGTTTCATCACAATTGATATCACAAACAATAAAATCCCCCTATCCCCCCTTCTCCCAAAGGGTATGCACTCAAGCTGAGCCTGGATTTGTCCAAAGCAGAGTTTCTTCCCATGTGATACAGTACAATCATGTTTTTTTTTTCATCAGAAAAAATGTTTTTCCATTACTTGATATAATGTAACATTATGTTTTGAATCCAGAGAAAGAATTTTAGTAAACCGAGGCTGGGTTCCAATGGACAAAATAGATCCAGAGAAAAGAAAGAATGGGCAGGTACATATGTTATGTTTAGTGATAGAAGTCTATAAAAACAAACTGATTTTATTTCTCGTAGAAGAGGATTAATAACATTGCTGAAGGTTCATAATACTGTATGTAAAGGGATAATAATGCTTTTCAAATCAATTCCAATAAAATGTTTTCCCTAGATTGAGGACGAGATCGAACTTGTGGCATTTATTCGCAAAAATGAAAAGGTAAAAAAGCAAGTTTTTTTGCAAATATTGATCTAGATATGCAAGCAAATGATTGTTTATACATGGTTTCATATTACGTTTTCATGAAAATGAATGTTCATTTGTTTGTTCCAGCGTGCTCCCTTTGCCCCAAAGAATAATGTGGCGAACAACAGATGGCATTTTCGTGATGTTACCACCATGGCTGAAATAGCTAATTGTCTTCCTATACAAGTTGATGCAGACGCGGGTAAATGTTAAATGTTAGTTTGCATCATTATCTTAAGCCTGACACAAAATGTTAAATAATATAGTATGCATGCATGTTAAAAACTGAATGAACCAATAATAAAGCTATTGCTATTAATTATACTCAGCTATAACTGAATAACAAATATTAAAGTTACTCTATTGCTATTATTAAGCAATTGTTACATTTGGGTCAGTTTCTATACAATTTTACATTTTGACTCAAATGCCTCGACTTGAAACAATCTTTCAAGTCAATAGTGGCAACAGAGTGTAGCTCTAATATCAACATAGAAGAAAACTTGTGTATGGTCGCTCCAATTGGTTCAAAGGCTGATTAATTATTCATTAGTTTTTGAAATTTCGTTTTAGGCAGCACGTTACCCGATGGGCCAGTTGGTGGGCAGACGCAGGTGCGGTTAAGGAATGAGCATCTGCAATATATCTTTACCTGGTAAGGCACATCGTAGAAAAGTCTAACACAGTTGTTTTTAGCTAGCCAACTAGTGACCTATTTCCTGCGCGTATAAAGGGATTATAAACCAAACCTCACCTGTAGACACTGTAGTCCACCATTGATGGTACTGATATATGCATACAACCAGCAGTTGCGCAGTCCAGTAAAATATTTTATTATTAGTTTTCCAGTCCACCTTTCTAAAAATCGTGTGTTCTGATTGGCTGTGCGAGCGTGCGTTATTTCTATCTCTGACCGCGGTTCGGTATATCCTACTGTAATATGGCCTGCATCATATTGATATTTACTTGGCAGTTATCAACCCAACTTTACTGAACCGTTTAAATGATTTGCCTTGGCATGGGCATACTTTGTACTAACTAAGTGTGTTCATACTTGGTATACTGCAGGTACGCACTGTCAGCTGCTACAGCTTATATGTTCTACAGACTAAAAAGGAAGCCTCACTCGTCTTTTGGATAAATGGTCGAATGAAGAATAAATGAACTTGACTCAGGCTCTAGTCTTGTGGGTTATTACCTTTAAACATTTTAATTTTATTGAGTCTCTTAACAACCTCTGGGCTGATCTAAGTCAGGACACGGATATCTTGAAATTGGAATTTAGCTGGTTTATCACTAGGTTTTGCAGAGAATGAAAAATCGGAGAACCTAGAGAAAAACGCTTGAATCAAAAGAGAAACATAACAAACACTACTCACACATGATTGGAAGTCCAAGAATGGAACCCTAGAGGTCAGAGTGGACTACCGCTACACCACCCTTAGCCTGCGTGCAACCGACCTCTAAAGAAAAGTTCGGCTGCACGCAGGCTACACCACCCTTCATTCCAGGTATTTTTCCTTGAGATAAGAGAAAAATCATAATAAAAATGTATAACTTTTGTGTGAATAAAATTGAGAGACCACTACATTTGTATTTTTTTCTGATTTTTAATTTCAATGATCCAGTCTTCTGGTGTATAATAAACAACGACGTCGACACTGCCCCGGAAAGTGAATTATTGTCAAAAGGGCCTGCGGGCAACATGAAATTTAAAATGTCAAAATTTAATGATATGAACAACACATCTGTGGCATTGCTAGAGCCATGCGGAACCCCGTTAACACAGACCCAGGGAATCAGAAGCAGCCTTGGCGGAAATAATTGGGGTGCATGTTACGTCATAGCCGCCATATTGGTTCACGATAACAAAGCAATCCTCATTAGCTTCTCTTATTAGATCAACCAACATGGCGCCTGTTCCATTGTTATTTATATCTCAAGGGATTTTGGGCATGTTGTTGCACCCCAAGAATACCCCAAGAATACAATGTTTATGGAATGAATGTTTACACCTACAAAGAATAGTATATCATTTTCACCGCCAAAGCAGCCATTCACCTCATACACGCGGTTAAGTTTTGGGAACATGAGTTTTGACGAAGCTGTGATTAAGCTACCGGACTGAACTGTTATAATGGAGAAACGTCGCCGAAGGGGAGGTGGGTGGGGTCAAAAATCCGTCTTGCACTGACTGGTACAGCGAACCTGAGCAAATGAGGCCGAAACCTTGGATTTTCTCGCTTAAATAGGCAACTGCTGACCCGGGGGTATTCATAATGCTTCTCACCTAGGAATCACACCCAGAAAGTCATGCTAACATTCTGCGCGTACTCGTTTCATGGCTACTTTAGGGGTGAAAATATTCTAACCAATGAAACGGTGCCTCAGCGAAGTACAGATTGAAAACTATCAAGACTAATGCTTCATAAGTACTTCTGTCACTACTGCATACTACTTCTGAGCCGTTTATGTTTTGCATCAGTTCGTCTGATGGTTTGAATATGCATGTTTTTTAATTATGATGTGCTATTTACTGCAGGAATTCTCCCGAGTTCTTCTAGGTAAATGTTCTCTGTGCAATACATTAAGTAAACTGCTTTGCGTATGGATATTTTAGCTAAAGTCTTCGTCATCTAATGGTTTTGAGTCTCCTGACAATCCTTCTCCAGATGCGACGGCACCTGAACCCGACTGTTCTCCTGACCCTGAACCCAACCCAGAAGACCCCGAACCAGAACTAATTTTCCATCCAGAGCCTGAACCTGAAGAACAATCTTCGTAACTTTCGTCACAGCCCACAGATGTTTCTGAAACATGGAAAAGATATGAATTTTTTAGCTAAATGCTCGTATTAGGCTGGAAATGATAAACCATTTGAGTTGAATCTAATAACTGTTTACGGATGGGCGTCATGAAGTTCAAGTTTTCGCTGAAACACCACCTCCAATGGACTTCAATGCCATCTTGGATCGCAAGGCATTATGGGGCGTCTAGGATGCAATAAAGCTTTGAGTACAGTAATCGACGTCGGTTGATATTAACAGCACATCACAAGAGAATACAACAAAAGATAAAGATGGCACATCAATTGCCCGTACCAATAAAAGCACACGAAACTCTATATATATTCCATCTTCTTTGTTTGGTTTTGGCAACGGATGGCCACCGTATCGTTGAAGTAGTCGATTAATGCAGCAGTTCTATTATTTTGTATACATTGAAGTGAAGCTTTCTTGTTAATCTGTTGTAGTAGTATGATATTTACAGGGGCGTGTTAAATAAGCACAACGACTTCTAAGCGATGCTCATGAGAGTTCTATGATCTAGACCTCGCTACGCCCCTGATAATGTATACTATCAGGGTGTAAAACTCATTACTTATTACTTACTTCCACATCTTTCCTCCCGACAGTAGTCGACCCCAAGTGCCTCACTTTCGTTGCATGGCTTACCACCATACTTTGGTTTTGGTGAATCACATTTATGTGATCGAGTCTTTCTTCCTAAACCACATGTTTTACTGCAAGCTCCCCAGGCCGACCATTCACCCCATCCACCGTCAACTAAAAATAGTTGGAATAATATTGTGAAAAAAACCATCACTGCAGTCAAATTAATGATTTTAACAGGCATAACTATCAAGCGAACTTACTGGGACAGTGTTCCTGTAGTAGACATGCTTTCCATTTTTCTGGTGATCCTTGACACTCTTTTCCTCCATGTTGAGGTTTAGGGTTTGAGCAACTTCGTATTTGGTTCTGATGTCCTTTGCCACAAGTAACTGAGCAAGGACCCCAGGTACTCCAGGATGTCCATCCACCGTTGACTAAATGAATAAACACTTATAATTTAGATCAAGAACTTTCATGGGCATCCCTGGGTAACATGGGTGCAGCCGAATAGAGTTAAAGTCATGCTACACGCAGGCTATCATCTTGATGTTTGAAGATACGTTTTGAATATTCAAGCCAACATGATAAAAAAATGTGGGAAGACATATTCTTGGCTTTCACGTGAAGTCTTAAAGGGGAAATCCAAACTTTTCAAAACAAAACTATATGTCGAATGTTATATTTATACCATTTTAAGAAAAATCTTACCAAAATAATTTTGTATTATTGATGTTTCGTATAAGATTTATTGCGAGTTAAACTTCTTTTAACTATAACTTTGACTGATTTTGGTTGCTATGCCATATCTACAATTTTTGATTAAATCGTCCGGTCGGGAAAATGATCGATGACATAAATGAAAGCCAAGAATTGAATGAACCATAATTAAAGTGGCTTAGTGAGAATACCAAAGGTGGAGGGGCGAGCACACGTGCGCGTTTTGGCGCGAAAACTCCCGCCAATTCTGCAGGTAGTTCAACAAAATAGGAAAAAAGGAAATTGACGATTTTCTAGTAAAACGTTACCATTGTCATTGTGATTGTCATTGTCATTGTCATTGTTATTGTCATTTGTCTTAGAATATGGTCACATCCACACAGCTAATCAACGTCTAGTATTTCAGTGCTGTATATTTCAGTTTTCGTATGGCTGTGAAAAGCTCAGTGCCGTATGTGTACCTTGCCGTGACCGTGATGGTTTCTAGAATTTTGATTGGCTGATTTTTTTCCCTCGAGCAATGTGATTGATCTGACAGTGCCTTGACCTTGGTGTGACCGTGTCTGCGCCGTGTTTATACTGTGTTCAATTCCGGGTATTTGATTGGATGGAAAGTAAGTTTTCGAGCATCAGTGTGATGGTCTGGCGTATCCCTTGCCGTGTCAGTACCGTGTTTGTGCCGTGAGCGAGGTTTTCACAGTAATATGAAAACTGCTCTATCCCATAGAGAAACTAAGCAAAAAACGGAAGATAACTACGTACAGATTATGTAAAAGAATACCAGGTTTAGCGGAATTAACCTAGAATGTCTTTATACTCAAACCCAAATGTTGAAGATTTCCAAATTTAGTTCAGGACAAAACACTGAAAACTAAACAGACTTGAAAACTGATTTTTAAAAAAATACCAAGCAAAATAAAATATAAGCCTACTTCTGCTTCTTTTGCATAAATGTTTGGGTATCCATATAAAAATCTAGAGTTTTATATACATCTCAGTTGTGAAAAAGATTCCTTTCAATGGATGTGAAAAAGTCGCTCCCTCATGGTTTCATGAAGTTCACCTGCAGTAAAAGGACCTTTGAGGCTTCGAATCAATTTTAAAACCATATTAGTCAAGTAATCATTTTATCAAGCCATGAAAAATCAACTCGGTGGTTTACCATTTTTTGAGGATGGTGCTCCGCTATAACATGTAACGTGGACGAAATTAATTTGTATAAAATATAGTACTGAAATCCTTTCTGAAGAAAAAAAAAAGAAACAAAAAAACAAAAAACAAAACAAAACAAAAAAAAAAGAATCCTCATTTTCTTGAATTAATAAAAAACGCTTATAAGCAATAATAAATATATATATTTTTTAAATCTTAAGGCTGCACGGAACAACAAAATAAGAAAAAAAAGTACCTCAATACGCTGGGAATCGAACCCGCGTCCACCAACTTTAATYACATAATTAATTTCAAAATACAAAAGATGAAAAAGCAGTGCCTTCATGCCATACCCCTAGACATCCGCTGGGTCATCGTATGGACTTCGGACATGACGGCGATTAAGTCCCTCTGCCCTTGGGTGTACGGATTACGCAGGTTAGTGTTCTAGCCGAAGCATCAGGGGAGAGACTAGCCGGCCCCCAGACCATATCTACAGCTAATCCCTTGCACTCTGCCACGCACTGGCACGTTGATTTCAAGTGGAAAAAAAAGTAGTCTATCTGGTTCTTTGTTGTCATGGCTATTGTTATGCTAATTTCCTGAGATCGTGGCCCAGTGGAAAAAAGTTGGGCTTCCAAGACACTGAGTCAAGCACGTTTGCGTAAGTATAGTACTTGGATGGGTGACCTGAATCTTATAGTTACCGAACTCTTTTTTTTTTGTTTTCGTTTTTTTTGTTGTTTTGTTTTTTTGTTTTTTTGTTTTTTTGTTTTTTGTTTTTT